GTGCGAAAATGTGCCCGGAGGGTACACTCGCGAACGTGGCGCAAGGACCGAACGGGGCGGCCGCAAGGCGTGAACCGCTGGAGCTCTGACACTCTTTATGAGACAGCCTTACACTACATCTATTCCTTTAATACACTCCAATGACTTGATTCAGATGGCGGTGCCACTAGCGTCTCCGGCCACAATCTCGCTACCAACAGCTCCCGTGGTTTCATCTGCAAGCGTGATCCAGATACCACCCGAACCGACACCTGCATCTGTCATACCAACCAGTGCGGTAACCTCGGTTGTGACTGTCGGATCGGTAGTACCAACACATCCGCCACTTGTCACTAATTCACATCTTGATCTATCGGCACTGCAGAAGTTGGATTCAGAGCTTAGAAAAGTTCGTCTTATAACACTTAGTGTAGTCACAAGTAAGGAGAAATTCCTTTTCTTTTGTAGGTGAGTGGCGTATCGACTGTCAGCGGTGTATCAACTGTTTCCGCAGGAGCCACAGCAGCTCATGCTCCAATCCCTGAAGCTATGACACAATCTGCAATCACAACATTACACTCTGGTGCTCAGGTAAGGCCTACTCGATAAAAGACAATACTTCTGGGATATGTTATGCAAGGGAAATCTTTTTTCGCTACGAAGTTTCAAACTTAAGCGAATTGTCCATTATTTTAGCTACGTCTCAAAACATCTTTAGAGTTGTTCTTTTTGAATTTTGCATCCAAGGAGTCTTGTGGTATCAGCTCGCATATTGTAAATTGTAAAAATCCCCAGATGGCTGTCGTATACAAACATTTCAAATGCTCTGTTTCGCGTTTATGCTTCCATTAAAGGCAGTGTATAAGGAAAATGGACCTTCTCGGTTTGGTGGAGATAGGAAGTAGATCCCTTGAGTATACCGTAGCCGAAACCCCACCTGCCAATTCATGCCCTAAGTTTTGAAATATGCGCTCCAACTCCACCAATGACGTCCATTTAATGGAAGTGGGCGGGGATAGTGAAGTTTTGAAGCGCATTTTTCAGGAATCAGTGCATGAATTGACAGGTGGGATTCGGGCTGCGATGTACTTGGGGGACTCCGCCAAAATATGAGAAGGGTCCACTTTGCCTGTCCACTGCCTTTAATGACTGATAATCGAGTCTAATGAATTTTGT